ACACCGATAACCGGGCGTAGCAATCGCAAAGTAGGCACTTTGACGTTGGGTAATGGCTAACAAGATTAAGATTGAGTAGGGAATTTGTTCCTCATTGGGTGCCCCATATTTTCTGCCTTGTGTCACATCTAAGCTACGCTTAGAAAATCACCGGGGTACCTCGACGTGATTGTTAGCAAGCTTGTCTCGCTAGAACAATTACGTCTGAATAGTGAGTTTGATCCTCATTGGGTGCCCCACACTTTCGGCCTTGTGCCACATCGAAGCTACGCCTAGAAAATCACCATAGCAATTGCAATGAATAACTTATGCTTTTAAAGTGTGCAGGCACCGAGGAGTTTACGTAACAGGGAAGGAATGTCGTAAGGTCGAGTTAAAACTAGAAAATTACGCAACGTTTGGAGGCGGCCGAAATTCGCGACGGCGATATACGATCAAAATATTTGGTTGCAATTTGAACTCGACACGCGAATCCCACATTCCGCGCCAATTACCACTATACTACCAACATATCCCAGTTTGAAAAGAAAAAAGAAGGAAAAAAATATTATTATTACTAAAATATTTTTACCATATATGAAAGCAATAAAACATTAGCCTAATGGATATGCCAGTAATTGGAATAGCGTAGGATATCTGCAAGACCAATTAGCGCGAAAAGTGGCACCGACGAAAAGAGTTCAACTCCTGGTCTTTTCTGTTTCGTTCACTTTCACACATATGCCCGTCAGAATTGGATGAACCAGTCTCTTTTTGGTCATCTATGGGTTAAATTGCAGAGTATACTGCATTTTCTAGCCTTAAATGACAACAAATATAAGTGAAGACCTATTTTAAATTTTTAAAAAATGTAGAGTAAGCAACAGTAAACCACGCTACTAACTTTCCAAAAAGTCATGGTAATTCCCAGATAATAAGAAGAAACATGGTCGTCTACGTCATGAATGAACACAGCCAAAAAAAAGAATAGGCCTGCAAATCTTAAAGGGCAGTGTAGGAGACGATAAACCACTCAACTATCTTTCCCAAGAAGTCGTGGCAATTCACATATAATAAAAAATGAAGCTGAGGGGGGTCATGATCGCCTACATTCTGAACGAACATGGCATAAAAATACACTAGGCTCTCAAAACATAGATGACAGCCTATGAGATGGACTTAAAATCTGAGCAAGTGACGTTAGGAAATTACTCTAATATCTTTCCGAAGAAGTCATGGCAATTCACAGATAATAACAAATGAAGCTCCAAATCCTGAAGTGGATTCCTAGAAGAAAGCCTTAAAGTCTATGAAGAAGACATCGGGAAACAACTATAGTATCATTGACAAAGTTTCATGGCAATTCACAGATATTAATGAAAACGAAGCTAGGGAGAGCGATGATCAACTACTTTCGATGTGAACATAGCATAAATAAGTCTAGGCTCCAGAAACTTAGATAACAGTCTAGAAGATGGTTTTAAAATCGTTGGAAAAGACAGTGTGAAACCTCTTTACTCTCTTTCCCAAGAAGTCATAGAAATTCACAACAAATGAAGCTCGTGAGACTCGTGATCGTCTACATTCTGAATAGACATAACATAAAAAGGTTAGGCCCTCAATACTTATATAGCAGCCTAGGAGATGGACTTAAAATCCGTGGAGAAGATATCAGGAAACCACTCCACTATGTTTCCCAAGAATTCATGTCAATTCACAGCTCATTAAGAAAATGAATCTGGTGATCGTCTACATTTTGAATAGACATAACATAAAAAGGCTAGGGCCTCAGTACTTATATAGCAGCCTAGGAGATGGAATCCATGGAGAAGATATCAGGAATCTACTCTATTATATTTCCCAAGAAGTCATGAGAATTCAAAGATAATAAAGAAAATGAGATATTGAATTTCCTGGAGCTATATCTAATTAAGAAAACCTTTTTCAAGTCCCTTAGAAGCCTACGAACAAGATAAGAGAAACGTATAGTCATTCTTCAAGTCATTCATTTTATTTCCTCCCATTTGTCAATCTAGCATCATTATCCTATAGAATGATCTAACAAAATATGTTTTTTTTTTTATTTGCCTAGAATTATGTATGTTTTTGTATAAGACTATGCATCTATCAAAAGAGGTACGTATATCAGTAGACAGGGTTCACGAAATTAAGTATTCTTTCAAAGACAGACGGAAAGAGCGACGAAAAACGATCCTTTCACAAAGTTTAATGAACATGATTATATATTCTTAGCACGAAATTATTTTAAAATAGCTTGAATTAATAATTAATAATTTTAAAAAGCAAAACTATAAAAAATAAAAGTAATAATAGTCACAATACTAAGAATGTTATACATCCTGAGCTTGTATCTCGGCTTCAGTCACATTCCCACCACTGTACTTTGTTTTCCCTCCATTTTTCCTATACATATTTTCATGGCAGTTATAGAACTGGATTAATCTTATTTTGTGACTCTGTGACCAGTCGTGCTTATACTTTTTTCTTAGTAATTAGGTCACCTACTTAATTGAACGAGAATTGGTTAAATGACACTATTGGTAACTAAACTGCACCATATAGTCTATCTAAATTTTAAATCGAACAAAGATCAGACGTGATCATTTTTAGGATTTAGGGGCTGTACAGAGAATGCCGTCAGGTTGTACAGAGCGTCCATCGGTTTCCACGCCGAATCACAGTGTCACATACACGGCCGCCCCTCGGAAATTCTGTCGAACCAATAAACATAGCTTCTTTTATCAAAGAATGGCAATTGTTACCTTTGGGGAGTCCGAGTGAATCATTCCCATTTTTGAGCATCCCTCGACCTTCGCAGTTTCGGCCAACAACGACAGGCCATATTCCGAAATAAAAAAAAGGGTGGGGTTGATTGCTTGTTGAGAGAATCTGTCGCGGTCACAGGCTGCTGTTACACTTCCAACTTAAGAGGAAGATTAAAACAAAACGCTTCTACTTCCAATAAAAAAAATAACGGCTGACCTCTAGAGACTCTGATCTATTTTGAATAGACAAAATTCCGCCAAAAGTTTAAATTTTGCATTTAATGCTGCCGTATGTGGCCTGGTGCTCCAGCTGTTGATCTCGATATCCTTGACAAAATCCAAAGAAGGATCTGTCATGTTATCACTCCTTACTTGGTAGCTCGACTTCAGTCATTTTCTCAACGCCGAGATGTGGCTTCTCTCTGTGTTTTCTGTAAATATTTTCATAACAGTTCCTCTAATGAGATGTCCTTCTTCGTACCTCGACCGCCTGAATTTAAATGTAATACTAGATTGGCAATTAGGTCTTATCCGTTTACTGTTGAATTGGCGACATGTAGCCATAAGTTCTATTCTAATAGTTTCTTTCCCCCCATTACTCGCATCCGGTTTCCTGCTTCCTTTCCAACTACGATCGTCATAAATTTGAATGCATCTCCAATCGCTCTTTTCTATCTCCCTGAAATCCGTCCTTTTATTGTCCTTTATCCTCACTAAATTCTCCTCACTCTCTTCCACTCCGTTGCGCCTTAGTGGCATTATCGCCTTGCTTGGGGTGAAATGATTTATTGATTGATTTGTTTGCTTATCAACCCTTTGTGGATTATTTGAAGCCGAAACATATTTCGGGAGGTAAGAATATTTTTATTTTTTTTTGCCACTAAATATTCCATTGACAAAATTTTGAGAATAGCAACATTTTTTTCAGACCCAGGTCTTATTATTTAACCCATAGTTGGAGGGAATGAGATTAGATTCTTAATTTATCTAAGGGTATTTTCACGTAAGTAAATGTAACGAACCCGACTAGAATTCAAACTCTGCTCTCTGATTTCTCGTTCATATTTTCCCGCATATCCAAAGGTTTCTTGGTTGTTTACAGTACGCTGTCTTCCTAAACAGTCCCCCATCTCTGTACTAACCGAGATGAATACTGCTTGATTTCCGTGATCGAACGAAAACCGATGCTTTCAGAGTGTACTTCCTGAAAAAATATAACGTCTTCTTACTATCAGTTATTGACATTATTTTCAGAATTAAAGATTAAAATAGCTAACGCGTAAATATTTCGGAGACAAGGCAAATATCCCCACGAAAGAAGGATCAACATACATGTAAATAAACTCTAAAATAAGATTTAAAATTTGTGAACGTAGTAGAAAGCTCATCACGAATTATGAGAAAGAGAAATGTTCACCCAGTTGCTGTTTGTTTGATTAAACCCTAAGAAAACATTCCTAGTTTGTATCAGCTAAAAATAAAATAAAACGAGACTTTGCAACAGGTCGGTGTCGGTCAATTAAAAAAAATGCCAGCTCGTCAACATAAATCTCCGCGAAGTGACTCCCTTTATCTAAAAATATAAACAAAGCGGTCTGAGATCAAAGACTCCGACAACTGAAACTACATGTCATTTCCTCTAATTCCGGCTTGTAATTTTCTTTTCCTGGAAATTGTGATAAATGACTTTTACGAAAATCTAAATAGAGCTCAGGTTCGTTTCTACAAGCATTTGAAGAATGAAACGATACATATGCAGAAAATAAATTTACACCTATTACACACAGAAACGAAAAACATTCAAATAACCAGAAATAAAAATTGATCGAGTGATTGACATTTTTATATCTTGGACACAAGCCATCTTATAAGGACAACCAAGAAGTTGCTGTCAAATATCGAATAAGCCTTTGCAGGAATCTTTTTGGAAAATATAATGATAATAGTAATATTAACTGTTTCCTTATAAGGAAACATTTGGCATTCATTTACCGCGCAGCCAGTACTTAGTTCGGTTGAAATTTATAAAATCTTTCTGTTAAAACAATTTTTCAGGAAAATAGGTTTCTTACGTCCAGTAACTGTTATCGCTCTTTCTAGTATTGATGGGGACTTCCTTCCTGGCCATTTATTTGAAGTGGCGTGGAATGTCAATATCTTGATTATATCATTATTTTCTCTTTGAGTTATATGTCATATCCATTTTAGTCGTTGGTGCTGTTGGCTGTCCTCAAGTGTTTCTGTCATTTGGTACAATTCTCTCTCTCTCTCCCCTCTCTCTCTCTCTCTCTCTCTCTCTCTCTCTCTCTCTCTGTGCATGAGAGAGAGAGAGAGAGAAAGAGATTCTGTAGTGTTAGTCCACAATGTTCAAAGGAGAATGGCCTTTGCCAGGACTCCCAGGTTTCACTCTGTCAAAATCATTTTTAACCTTAGAAAACGGTGTATATATCTGACAGTTTAGATATTTCTGAACGGGTTTGGCTTGGCGCCATGCATGACATCCACATGAAAATCTCGATCTGACGCTGGAATTAACAAGAGCAACAATCCACACTAGAAAGAAAATATATCATTACTCCTGTTGTTTAGTAATGACTGGCAGTAGAGCCCGGCGTTGCCCGGGGATGTAACAGTCAGAGATAGATCAAGTATCGACCATCATAAAGACTGAAAAATAAAATTTACAAAGATTATTGTTTAAGGTTGACGGACACGCATGTCTTAATTAGTTTTTGTTTTGTTTTTTGTTTTTTTGTTTTTTTTACGAATTGGTCAATCCCAAACTCAAACAAAAACATTGTTTTCAATCGTTATGAGTCTACCGATTGAATAGAATTTTATTATAAACAATTGTCTTGTAAATGGAACTTTTAAAGCATTCTGAATGTAAAAATAAAGAAAAAAGTGTGCAAGACAATAAGAAACACTACCTACCCAAAAAAGTGAAAAATGTAGGAAATCCGATCCCATATATAAACGAACACAAATACACACACACACACACAAACAACCTGGGTTTTATAATAAGAATAAGTAATAAGGATATGAGTTGTACCCCTTCCACTAATGCCTCTTAATCGTGTTTTCAAATTGATTTCGTACAAAAACAATTGTGTTTTTGCAATTTTTGGCGCTGTCAGAACCACCGCAAGGTAATTTTACGTAGTCCTGTGAAGTTTTATTGAAATCGGTTGAAAAATGTAGGAAATCCGATCCAATATATAAACCAACAGACACACACACACACAACCTGGGTTTTATAATAAGTATGATTCTGTGTTATGTACTCAAATACCCCCGCTCAAATACCCCCGCTCAAATTGAAACATTCCATATGATTCATTTTATCACTGATCACAAACTGATAGATAAAATATAAAATAACAACCCTACAGGGATGCAAATAATTTCACTTTATTTTTATTTTATTTATTTTTTTTTTTTTTTTTTTTTTACAGTAAGGTTCACCCTGGAGAACACCCGGGGACCACTCGAGGTAGAGGGTTACGTTAATTTGTGCTGACAGGAGGATAACGAAAAATAAAGATTAACCCTAGACTTGAATAGGTTAAGGTTTTAGTGATCGGGGAAACATCTTCTTGGGAGTCGGTTCCACAGAGCGTTGGTTCGCGGGAAGAATCCGTTCGAGTGGAACTTACTTCTCACCCCCAGCGTACTAGTGGAATTCCCGCCTTACTTGGGGCGAAATGATTAAAAAACATGTCATCATTAGTAGCTATTTCCACCCACGGAAAATTACGAAATAACATGCCTTACTTCTAACCATTAGTTCGCTGAAATGTAAATGACATGGCGTATCCTTATCCTAAAAGGATTTAATTCGCGGGACCAGGGAATATGGTTCGCCCGAGGATATTCCGTGGAAGTGGCGATAGAGCAAGCGAGAGGCTTACCACATCCCGCCTGTGAGAGAGAGGTTGGAAGGAAGAAGAATGTATGAAAAATGAGCTCCAGAGTTCGAATTTCATTTCTTAAATGTTTCTTAAAGGTTGGAGGGTAGAGAATAATTCGTTACCCACAAGGGTTCAAAGTCGCCTTTGGACTCTATCCCGCTTAAATATCATAAGAGTACTTCATGATCTAGCTCTTGTAAAGGTAGAAGATAGCATGAGGAGCCAGGTACATACTGGAGCGGTACAGGGGTACCTGCATTTTCAATAGTGGATCGTATGTATGAGTTCTACTTGAGGTCAGGTGTGAGTAGTCTTTCAAGGCACGATGCCTCTCCGATGGGGACATCCGTTCATGGGGACTGGTGTTAATTCGGGGTCCGATCAGAGATGATGGAATGTAACTAGTATTCACTCTTCGATAGCATCCATCGGAAATCCTTCAAACGATTTGGTCACATTAAAGGCTTTCGTGGTGGGTTCAGTAAATTGTCACTTGAGGGCATGTTACTTAAAAACAAGTAAAGGAAAGCCAAAACAGAGAAGAATGGATAACACCAATTATTTGGTCACGAATTAATGAGAGACAGACATTAAATAGGATATCTCAAGATCATAAAAAAAAAATGGCTGGAAATAAGGCATGTTAGTTCTCAATTTTCCGAGGGTGGAAATAGCTACTAATGATGACATTTTTTTTAATCATTTCACCCCAAGGAAGGCGGAAATGCCACTAGTACGCTGGGGGTTACAGGGAATGAAAGTGAGAGAAAAGAATGAGTATAGGGAGGATTGAGGGAAGGACAAAAGATGAACTGAATTCAAGAAAAACAGAAGATGGCGATTGACGTTGCATTTAAATTTTTGATGATTGTAGTTATCGGGGAAGCAAGTAAGAGTAACAGAGTTCCAATGTCGGGAAGTGCGAGAAAAGAAGCTGTTGGTGTAGAAGTGGCGGTTACATTTAACTATTTCAACAGGAAAAGGGTGGGACCAATATGCCAATCTAGTAGCAAGCTAAAATTCATGAAGTCGGGGCACCAGGGGAAAAAGTTCGTTAGAACAATTACGATGAAAATATTTGCAGAAAATACAGAAGGAAAATATTTGTCAAGAAGACTGAAGGAAAGTATAAGTAAATTGCTGTTTTAAGTTTTAGCTAAATTATTGGTATCTTAATGGCAACTAAAACTAGTTACTGACACTGGTATAGTTACTAACACAGTTATAGTATAAGCACGAGTAGTCGCTCAAATGAACGTGTTTACGCCATTTCCAAGTGAATGAGAAATCGTTATCAGTTGTTTCAACTTAAAGAAACTGCAAATCACTTCGATTCGGTACCTAGCCACCCTCCCACAAGGGTTGCATGTGGCACAAGGCCGAGTTTAACATGGGTTTTCCGAGCCCGTAGGCTCGACCAAAAAATGCCCGTAGAACCCGTATAAACGGGATCGGATTGGTCAACCTCCCCGAACGAGATTCTGCCCTTTGGCGGAGCCTCGTCCGGGTTCCTCTCTGCTCAGAGGCAGAGCGTTCGACCGTCAAGCCAAGAAGATCGGCTTCATCAACATCAGCGTAGCTGCTCGTTTCTGAGTATGACCATCTGCACAGGTCCTTTTGGGTTTATTTAGCTTCCACAGAGTCAACCTGTGGTTTATACTGCAACTTTTTAAGTCAATTTTGATCTTCAAAATTTTAAAAGCAATATCAACCTGTCTTCATAATTCCTGTTCTTTTATTCTCTTTCCTGAATAATGTTTTTCTTTTTCTCATATTCTCTCGCACTGAGTAACCCCCTTGCGTTTTAGTGGCTTTGTTGCCTTGCTTGCAATGAAATGATTAAACAAGCTACGCTGAACAATGCTTAGTTTCAGTTCAAATACGTGACCCACTATGACCACACACAGTTTTGAATTCATACACTCTCTTAAACAACCTCTGTGTGCCTTAGCAGTTTTTCTCCCGTTGTATTTTTTTTAATCATTTCACCCCAAAGCAAAGTGGTAATTCCACTAGTACACAGGGCGGTTACAAGGTGTAAAAGTGAAAGGGAAAAGTGAGTATATGGAGGATTGAGGAAAGGGCAAAAAAGGAAAACCTTTCGAGAAGACAGAAGATGGCGTTTGACGTTGCATTTAAATTTTCGAAGATTCTAGTTATCAGGTAGACAACAAATCTGAAGCGAGTTCCACAAGTGCAAGAAAAGAAACTGCTAGAGTAGAAGTGGCGGTTGCATCTAGCTAGTTCAACAGTAAAACGGTGAGACCTAATTAACAATCTAGTAACACATTCATGTAGTTGAGGAAAAAAAAAAGCTGATCAAATCAGTTGGCATGAAAATATTTGTAGAAAAGATATTGGGAGTCACGTCACATCGGTGAGAAAAGTAATTGATGCCGAGGTTTAAAATTATTTACGAGGTTATTTTTTAGTGATTGACTGTTGCTTTATGATTATAGTCTCCAGGTCACAATTTAATTTATTATGACCAAACGCACTCGGTTTAATTTTATCCAATAGGTGTTTTAATTATAAATGACTATTTCCTCTTTAAAAACAGAGTTACCTGATGACTATTGAGTAAATTAATGTCAAACATTATTATCACTTTGTAGACTGGGGTCATTTTTCGTTAAGAAAACTGTTGTTGACACGAATAGTAAAAACGGGTAAAAACGACCTTCTTCACTGTACCGTGTACCTTCAAGAAGACAGAAGATGGCGATTGATCTTGCATTAAAATGTGTGAAGATTTTCGTTATTAGGGAAGCAAAGAAACGGAAGAGTTCCACAAGTACGAAGTGCGAGAAAAAAAACTATTGGAGTAAAAGTGGCGGGTGCATGTAGCTATTTCAAGAGTAAAAGAGTGGGACCTAGATACCAATCTAGTAACACGCTTAAATTCATGTATTTAGTGTCCCAACGAAAAAAAAACCTGCTAAGTCGCCCGCCCCCCACGTTCCACCATCCATTCACACAAGCTCATCAGGTAGGTAGTTTGCTATCTCCCACTATCTCTTTTGCCCTCAGTGCCCTGTGAGGTTTAATTTCGCCAAACCTGTCTTCCTCATTATGTATTCATTATGTGAGCATAAGTGTTTAATTATCATCATTTTATAAAGATTTACTATTTGCTTACTCTCTCTCTATGTATGGTGTTCTCAGTAGCCACAGCAGAACCACATTTCTGTTGCCTGCAGTTTTCTCTTTATCTGTAGGGAGATTTTCCGGAATTCGCAGCTATATAAGAGGATGGATATCGCATAGCAATTCAGCACTCTTTTCTGTTTCTCAGCAAAATCGCAGGGTAGACTGACTCTCTAGCCTTTGATGACAACAAAACTAAGTAAAGAGCTATTTTAAAATTTAAAAAATGTAGAAAAAGCTACATTAAACCACTCAACTCTCCCAAGAAGTCATGGCAATTCATAGAGTCATGATCGTCTAAACCTGAATGAACATGGCAAAAAAAAAGAGGCCCGCAAATCTTAGAGGGCAGTGTAGGAGACGGAATTAAATTCCGTGGGGAAGACAACGGGAAACCACTCAACTATCTTTCCCAAAAAGTCGTGGCAATTCAGAAATAATAAAGAATGAACATGAGGATCACCATGATTGCCTACATTCTGAATGGACATAGCATAAAATGGCCTCTGCTTATTTAGGGTTTGAGATTCCTTCATCACTACTAACTTACGACCATATCACCTTACAATTACGATTAGTACGATTAGTGTAGTTAGGCTATGTCAAGCCTGGTCAGTACCTAGGTGGGTGACCGCTTGGGAATATCTGGTGCTATAAGCTTAGATGTGTGTATGATGTAATTGGTAACGGCTCGAAATTGGAAAACGGAGTTCCGAGTTCTAATTCTAGTTTGGCTCGTTATATTCGCTTACGCGTAAAGTACCTTGGGAAAGGCATGAATCCAACTCTTTTCAACCCAAATATGCGTTAATTAATTGGATGTATCAATAAATCATTATTATCACCAAAGGAATTCTCACAATCTAAAAATATTTTCTGGCTTTAAAAAAAAACGAAAAAGATTGATAATCCGTAAAAAAACCAAAACATTCAAATTATTTTGATGCGTGTTCTGATATCTTAATTGCATTTTCTAACCTAACACTTCCCAGATATTTAAAATCCTGTGTTTTGCTGGATGTTGACATCAATTTGTATGTCGCATCTTGGGCTTTTCCTCTTTCTGATAAAGATATTTTCTGTTTTCTTCAAGTTGAAGGTTCGGCCTTTTTTTCTTGCTTTCTTTTACAAATCTGTCTAGGTGGTCCTATAGTTTTCTTTCTGTCCGTTGAGAAAACATGTCCTTGCTTTCAAGTATTAAGAATGAGGTCTCAAAATTGTCTTCTTTTATTTATTTTTTTTTTTTTTTTTTTAGGAATTAGGTCATAGACGTTGACGAAAACATCAAGGTTATAAAATGGGTACATCAATTTTTTTCTGGCTAATTTTACGTGGCCAGTTTTAGGATTGAGGTCTATACTAATAATATTTTGGAATAAAGGAAATTATGAAACATTATAACAACGATTCTTTTTCGTTTATTTTCTGTTTATATTATTTCATTTTCTTTTTTGTTGCTTTCACTTAATATAGAAAAACAACCTTTACTCATTATAAATGACAAATGTTTTCTACTTAATTTCCTTAGCGTTTGTACTGGTGGCTTCTTTCCTTTAACTACGCACCCTCTCTCGGGAGGGGGTAGAGAAAAAATAACATGCTTCAAAAGCGTGTCTGTCAGCTGAAATAGATTGACGTCTTTCTCTTTTTTTTTAAGGATTTTTAAAAATCTATTTCTGGCTTCTCTTCCACCTTGTACTCTTTTATCCGTTTATAATTACTGCTGTATCTCTTTAAGCCTCTATTTCTATCTTTCCCCTCTATCTATCTTTCTATCTTTCCTTATATCTCTCCTTCTGTCTTTCCTCTATCTATCTTTCTATCATTCCCTCTATTATTCTTTGTCTCTTTCCCTCTATCTGTCATTCCCTCTATCACTGTTTGTATCTCTCCCTCCACCTATTCTTTCTTTCGCTCCATCACTCTTTCTGTCTTTCCCTCTATCTACCTTTCTCTCTTCTACTCCATCTATTTTCTGACTGTCTCTCTATCTTTCTTGCTATCTAACTTTCTGCCTTTCTCAATAGCTATTTTTCTGTCTTTCACTCTATCTCTCCTTCTCTCAGTTCCTCTATCTCTCTTTCCCTCTATCTATTTACTGTCTTTCCCTCTATCTTTCTGTTTTTCCCTTTATCTATCTTTCTGTCTTTTCCTCTATCTCTCTTTCTGCCATTCCCTTTATCTCTCTCTTTCTCTCTCTCTCTCTCTATATATATATATATATATATATATATATATATATATATAGATAGATAGATAGATAGATATATATATATATATATATATATATATAGATAGATATATATAGATATATATATAGATATATAGATAGATAGATAGATAGATAGATAGATAGATTATATATATATATATATATATATATATATATATATATATATATATATATATAGATAGATAGATTATATATATATATATATATATATATATATATATATATATATATATATATATATATATATATATATATATATATATATTATATATATATATATATTTATATATATATATATATATATATATATATATATATATATATATATATATATATATATATATATATTTCTCTCATGAAGATATAAGAATGCATACACAGGCACATCGTGCTTGAGACATATACTCACACTTTCATTTTTACAATTCACTATTATCTACGAACAAATACATTTATTTAATTTTTCAACCATTGATGTCGGGACGCATCATTGTAAAAACTCAAACATCATAGTAAATAAATAAGCCGGCCGAGATCAACAGACTTGTTGATTAATAGAATACGGATGGACATCAGACAGATACATACAAAATAATGTGATATTCGAAGTGTGTGGCATGACAGGGGCTCGTTCAAGCTCCTGCAAAAAAAAAACGTCTTTTATCTGAACATTTGATTAGATCTTGAGGAGTGGGTCGAGCAATAAACTTTACAATATCCCCTCGTCAGTAAATGTAAAAACAAGTAGATATAAATTTGAAGATAGATAGATAGATAGATAGATAGATAGATAGATAGATAGATTCACGTGCCAGTAGTCTCTGTGTGTGACCTATATATAGGTTACTGAGGGATAATGGCAGGTGGGAGAATTTGCAATCCAGATTTTTTGTTTAGGGCTAATATTTTATGTTATTTATAGTCCGGATTTGTTCATTTTCTTTCTTTATTATTCCTTTAATTATTTCATTTATTTTAGGTATTTGTTTCCCACTTGAGCCCACGCAAGGAGTAGTGGCGCATGATCCATAGATCATTTCAATTAAGAAACTAAGAGTATCTCTGCACTGATGAAGTCTCTGTCACCATTATATATATATATATATATATATATATATATATATATTCTTCCACTCGCTCCATCGTAAATGTCTCTTATGCCTCCCCAAATATTTCTTAAAACTGCGATAAGATGTTGTACTTGTTATTATTATTATTAGTAGTAGTAGTAGTATTTCCTTAGGTTTCTGATGTATACACATTTACTTCCGGGACCCAACCAGAGACCTAATGTCAGGAAAGGTTTTATGACATTTTCCACAACATTTTTGTTTAAAAAAAGCCCCTAAGATCACACACATTTTACATAGATAAAGCTCTTCGTAATGCGTAAGCACTTCTTCTGAGTACAATGTTTTGTATTTCTTTAAGGCATGGGCTACCAGGAATTCCTTCAAATGTGTCTGTCAAAACCTTTTTCCAATCAATCCGAGTGCTTCAGCTACAACTGGAATTATTTTCTCAGCATCCATTTCTGTTGCTTCAAGTCTCTTCTTCATCTGTGAGGTGATTGTCTGGCATTCACCGCCATATGGGAAGACTGATATCACGTAACAGTTCAGTGCGCTTCCTTTGTTTCTAAAACATAACACTTGAGATGAGGGAATGTACAGCGTGGTCCGAAAGACTTGTCACCCTCAACTGAAAAAGTAATGAGAACAATAGAACAACAATACAAAGCACATACTGGATTCAGTTTATCGACTTTCATTAATGCTGTCACACATCGTTTTCGTGTCAGCCATCTAAAATAGAGAATTATCGTATGTAGGGGGTGACAAGACTTTCGGTCCACCCTGTAGATGCATATTTTTGAAATATCTTTAGGCAAAACCTTTGTCCCAAGTTGACTAGAAATAGCGGGAATCGTTAAAAGTCCATGGTATTCTCAGCATCCTTCTGTTGAACCGCATTTCTTTTGCTTCAAATCTCTTCTTCATCTGAGAGGAGATTGTCAAGCATTCATCGCCATATGGGAGGAATAAAAACCCGCATTAAATTCTTGAATTCACACACACATATATATGTGTGTGTGTGTGTGTGTGTGTGTGTGTGTGTGTGTGTGTGTGTGTGTGTGTGTGTAATGCGAATTCACGTTTAGCTGACTTTGCGTGTAAAGTGTGGTCTTAAGCCTTGGGTGTGTTATATGATCGGCTGATAAACTCAGTAATGTAACTTGCCTTTCACGATTCATATCTTCCTTTATCAGCGTCTGTATTGTATTCTAACGTTCATCCTTCAGGGAATATACAAATCAAAGGCCGACTCTAACTTATCAGAAAGACTTTTCATCCGTCGCTTTCAGTTATAACGCAATCAGCTGATCTCGCCTCTCACTTGTCTCAGTTGGCGAATAAAACTAAAAACTCCGTTTGGGATATAAGCGTGAATTTGTTTTCCTCCATCGAATCCTTTTTTGCGACTTGAAACAAAAAAAAAAGCCTTTCGACATTGGATCGTATTTCGTTTTATACGCATTAATATATATTTTATTAGACAGTGGATTCATCCACTGTCTAATAAAAGTCGAAATTCAGAGCGTAACTCACTTACAAGATGAAACATCGCAGGATGGCGCCGACATGTCTCTTGGTTGGTATGACTTTTATTGCAGCGACGAAGTCTTAAGGAAAACCACAAGCAAAATACTAGGGAGAAATATGAACCAGGCGATCTGCAATGATGCGCATCATGTGGTGTTAGAATATTTCAGTTGGAAGATTTAAGAACATGTCACACAATCTAAACCTATCTAATATATAAATTTGACAATATCTCACCTTTTTTATTTTTTTATTCTGTTATATTAAAATAGATATTGAATATATAGATGTTTTATTTTAAAAAGGGTATTTTAAATCCCATACTTACATTAACACCGAAATGTTAGCATAAAGTATGAGGTTTAAGGCATTTAAGTTTTTCAAAATCGTAGATGCCAGAAAAGCTAAAAACCGGAAGAGAGTTCCACAAGGGATAAGTGCGAGATGAAACGATTAGCATAGAACTTACGTTTTAAGCGAATTTACCCCAAGTAAGGCAGTAAAGCCACTGAGACACACGAGGTTAGTAGCTGTGAGAGAACTAGGAAAACGGAAGCATTATTGAGGAGCAAGAACAATAGAAGAGTAATCAGGAAGATGGCAGAATAATGACTGACAGTGCATTTGAATCTTTGAAGATCAAACTTGACTGGAAATCAAGAAACCGAAAGAGAGTTCCACAAATGATAGGTACGAGAAAAACTTACGGTTACAACTAAAAATTTCAGCGGTGAAATTATGAGATGTAACTGCACTTAAATTCCTGATCTCGACGTACCAAACAAGAGATCTCATCAGAAGAAGTACCATAAAAATATTCATTTCTAAGAAATGCCGGAGAGAAAGTGACTGAAACCGAGATGCCAGGTCAGGACCCATAACATTACAGGTCCTTATTTGGGTTTTGACAAGAATCTTTACAGACAGAAATTGTGTCAACAATGTTCAATGCATGGATGAGATTGCTGATTGTGAAAAGAGAACAATAAAATGTTAGAATTCAACGAGACAGACGACAATTGGCGTGGAATTTAAATTTTGGAAGATCATAATTGACAAGAAAACAAAAAGACAAGATACAGTTCCAGAAGAAAGAAGTGGGTGATGAGAAACTATTAGCATAGAACTTACGGTTACAACTACAAATTTCAGCCGCGAAATTATGAGACCTAACAGCCAATCTAGGACTTACATCTTAGGCTTACATTCCTAATCCCGAGCTAACAAATAAAAAAAGAAAGAAAGCTTGTCAGAAGCTAAATTGAATGTTACTCAATTGAGAGACCTGCTAATACTTGGACGAGGCATAACACAGCCGCAATGCTCTTAGGATTTTACAAATATTTAGTTGAAAGTAGCATTCTGATTGAATATTAGACATATGAAAATTATAGCGGCTTTCAGACATATGCAAATTACAACTGCTTTCTAACATATGCTAATTACGGTTGCTTTCTGACATATGCAAATTATACGTGCTTTCCTCTCTTCAGAATTAAACCAGTGAACGTTATCACACCGAATTGATTCGTCCATTCTTGACAAGGAGTCCTGGATACGTTACCCGTCGGTTCTGTTGAGCGCGTTGGTTGACTACCGCAGCACTGAAGAACAGGGTTTGCAACGATGGCTGCCTACACTTTTGTACACTCTATGTACGACGCTGGTTGCTATGGTAACCTACGTTGTTGGTATTCGAAATATTTATGCTATTTCTATCGTCAGAGAAAAGAGAGAGCGCGGGGGGGGGGAAGCGGTTAAATAGAATGTCCCCACTTCCCGTTGATTTTCGGATGCAGCGCGCGTCTTCTTTCCATGTACTACCTGACCTAGCACCTTTTGTACGGACTAATAATTTAAATTGTTTGCATTTTTAGTCTCGACAAGGTTTGCAAAGATTTTGAAACACAGCTTGAGATTGCATAATTATGTCAGGCCGTGTGAGCATTCTGGGGTCTCTCTCGATACACACGTAAACACGTATAAGTACATACGTAGACACGCACACACACACACACACACACATATATATATATATATATATATATATATATATATAAAGTATAAGATTGGTGTAGATGAAATAAAATTCCAATAACCAAAAACACTATTCTTAAAAGAGTGCTCAATACATAGTAGAGCA